GGTGGTGTCTAAGGATTTTTTCCCCCAATATGTCCTATAGGAAAGTCCTGGGAGAGCCTCTGATTGTAACAGTCCTTGGTTACATGCTCCATGCAGGGTCTGGAGGAACATTGAATAAAATTAGTAATTCTGGGTGGAGAAACAGCATACATCTGTCCACCATACTCAACATCTCCAAGTTCACTGAGTATTCATGGGTCCCAAAGAGAGACTCTGGATTGACATGCGGTATTGTTAAGAGCTTGAGCTTTCTAGGCAGAGTAGGTTCAAGTCCCAGTATTTCATTCACACATTGCAGGTTTTGGATTAGTGCTTAACTTCTATAAATCTCAGAATCTTCACCTGTAAAATGGTGATAATCATTCTTACCTCATAGGGTTATTGAGAGAATTTAATGAAACCTTATTAAAAAGCACTTACTGCAGTTCCTGGTATATAAAAAGTACTCAGAAAAAGTTAGGGATGATGATGATTCATTATGAAGTTTCTCTGTTGGATAAAGTTTTATTCCAAACCAACAAAGAGCAGCAGACTTTGCCCAACCTGGGCAAGTGAGTGAAGATGGTTTCATTCAACACATACTGCATTGCTTTAGCACCCTTACATGTGAAGACTCACTTGGAGCTGTTTTCCTCAGGAAGAGGATGCAAGGAGATAGGCTAATTGAACTTTGTAGATCCCTGTCATGGGCATTAATTCTATTTGTGCTTGCCCATTACATTTTTAGTAGCCTTTCAGTATTTGGGGAAATTTCTACAATATATGGCCCTTTCCCCACAAACAGTTGAATTCCTAGCCTCTTTTGCAGCTGAAACACAGTCATATGACATAGACATTACCAATCATATACACTTGCATGCGACAGTAGGACTGAAGAGATAAACTTGAGGAAAGAGAATCTGTGATGAGGTTTCTTTCTGTAGGCGGTAGCATAGTTATCTGGCCTTTAGGGTAGGATTGTTGCAAAGGAGAGTTTCCCAAGGCGGAAATGCATCTGAGGTGTTCATAGCCATCAGGATTGCAGTAAGTTAGAGTACTTATATTTATTGCTTAGTCTTGGTAGCAGCAATGGCAACTGATTTCTCACTGGGTCATTTCAGAAGCCAGGCTTTGGCCATTAGCCTTGATACAGTTTCTTCAATTCTCTTAATGGTAATGCAAACTACCTCCATGTGGTACAGCTGGAGCAGGATCACTTTCCAGGAAGCACAGACTCCACCCAAGTTCTCGATTGTGCCTCAAAGAACAACAGGAGTAATCCAAGGACAGAGTCCAGCCTCTCATCTCTCCAACCCCATTATCTCCCCCTCAATCTGATGCACTGCCCTGGATTGTTGTTCAGGCACCTTTCAAGATAATTGGAGAGTGCCCATATCTGAAAGTAATTGTACTGGAAAAGGCCACTTAAAATTTACATGACCCAGGCTCCAAATTTTCATAGTAGATACTGAAAAATTGTTCAGGATTTTAGCTTCAAAAATGGAACAGAAAATTCAAAAATTAATTTTGTGTTTAACAACATTTCCTTGGGGCGCTTGGGTGGCTCAGTTGGTTAAGCATCTGACTTTGGCTCAGGTCATGATCTAGTGGTTTATGAGTTTAAGCCCCATGTCGGGCTCTGTGCTGACAGCTCAGAGCCTGGAGCCTGATTCAGATTCTGTCTCCCTCTCTCTCTGCCCCTCCCCCACTCATGCTCTGTCTCTCTCTCTCTCTCTCTCTCTCTCTCTCTCAAAATAAATACATGTTAAAAAAAACAAGAAACATTTCCTTTATATTTGCAACTATGTGCCAATTCTCATAATGAATGAAGAATGAATACATGTGGATTTTTAAAGCATAATTTTCCCTGTAAAAATGCATTCTAGCAAAATACAAACATCTTTTCCTTTACTCTTGACTTGCACAGCACTATAATGTAGAAAATTACTTTTGTAAAATTATTATAGAGCTTCTTCATTTTTCTCACGGGATTCTCTGTAATATTTGGGCATTAAAAAATCATTCTTTTTTGAAGAGGCTTTTGCTCAGCAATGTTCTTCAGTTCTTTCCTTCAGTTGTCCACTGGAGTAATTCATCCAGGGCTTCATTTGTCAAAAAAGCCCATCATCCTTCTACTTCTTGCATCACTTGCATTTATTTTATAAAATTCTGAATCTTTTACAAGATGATTATTGCACCATGGATTGAATGTGCATTGTATTTATATTGCATTTTCAGATGTTTACAAGGTTGATGAAGTGACGAGAGACTAACCAAAAACGATGTTAACATACTGAGCCTACAGAGATGCTAACATTGGGCAGCAAGGAATGTTTGAGTGGGGACTAATTTTGTAAGTGGTCGGTTCATTGGTGAACATTTCCGTATTTCAATGACTTTGGTTCTCTGTGCAAGTTAGTCAACCACAGAGATTGGGTAATATATACTTTGGATAATAAGGGTCACTTCACCTATCACTCTGCTTTTCTTTCTAGAATCTACCACCGGGCTTTTGTCCTCTCTACCTCTCCCCTTTCCTGCTGCCTGGAGTTCTTTGCCTCCTTGCGCATTATGCCAATTCTGCATGGTGAAAGCCTAGAAATTGCTCTCACAGAAATGGACCTTATACACACCTTCAAAGTCCACTTGGGTCTGTCTCAATTTTAACATATGAAGCTTCTCAGCATATTTATAGATTATAATTTTGGTCAGAACTATAGTTCCAAGTCAAATATGTTTTTTTAAAAGTAAATAATAGGGGCTTTAGTAAACTTTTAAAATCATATGGTAACATCAATGTCTTTCTATGTGTCTCAAAACAACAAAACCATCAGTGTTGAACCCTGACTCCTTAGTGAGGATATGAACCCAGTTATCTTAATTCTATAAATTAAGAAAATTGTGTATTTATGTTTAAATAGTTTTCTATTTACTGAGACATGTTTAATACTTTGTTTCGAATTTTAAATTTTGAAAAGTTAGCTTAGTCCTAGGAATGAAGTATTTTCTGGCTAGGATGACTTCAAATCATTACCAGAAAGTGAATTGAGCAATATTTTCACATTATAATTTAAAACTTTGACTTTTTAACAAAATATCATCTAAAACACTTATGCTGTTGGATAGAATATTCTTGAAATGTGTGCAAAATAAACAATCATTTATTTTCCTCTTTTGCTGTTTTAAAGCAATTTTTATTGGGTTGAGGGTGTAAGTTTCAGGATATAATGTAGTTTGCCAAATTCTGTAATCCTTTTTTTTTTCAATGTCATACAGGGTGTGGTGGCTTTAGAAAATTTTTTTTTAAAGTTGTAGTTCTTGGTCTTTTTTCCCTTCACTTTTTCAAAAATAGTATGATAATCTAAATGCCACAGGAAAATTTTGGTTCCTACTATTTGCTCCTGGGTTCCCCCACTATTAAAAGTCAGATTATTCCCTATAGCTATTTCTTATTTTCTTGCTAGGAGGTTTACATTCTTAACATGGTAATCTCATTACTAGAAATGAAGTCTTGATAAGTAATATTTTAATGCTTATTATTATTATTTTGCTTAGCGAGGTGAAAATAATTTAGAGGGAACAACACAAATGAGGCATCTAAATTCAGCTATATCACTGGGTGTTGTATATAAGCCAATTTGTCAATAAATTATATTAAAAAAATAAATTCAGCTATATCCTTCTTGTGGTGGTATGGTAGTGGAAATATCAATAGATCCATTCTGTTCTTGTTTTCCTTTTATTAATCCCTAGCTATTGGAAAGCACATAACAAAATAAAAGGTTTAAAATTATTTTTCTCTGATTAATAAAGGAAAGCCTTGGTTCCTCCACAAGCTGGAATTGTTTTTAGAAAAACAAATTCTCTATGAATCTTAACTGGTCAATGCTACAGAAAGAAATTGTTGGAAAAGATCTTTTAAGAACAGAGAAATGCCAGGAAAGAAACACCATTTTCAGAGCAGGGCATAGATGATGAGATCTGATGATTTGGATTCTGTCTTCATTATCTGCCATAGCGTTCACTCACAAATCGCTTGGCTGAAAATGCACTTTTAGGGGCGCCTGGGTGGCTTAGTCGGTTAAGCGTCCGACTTTCGCTTAGGTCATGATCTCACGGTTCGTGGGTTCGAGCCCCGCGTCGGGCTCTGTGCTGACTGCCAGCTCAGAGCCTGGAGCCTGTTTCAGTCTGTGACTTCCTCTCTCTCTGACCCTCCCCTGTTCACGCTGTCTCTCTCTCAGAAGTAAATAAAAAAATATTAAAAAAAAAAAGAAAGAAAATGCACTTTTAAATCCCCGAACAGAAAGTGTCTCCCTATAGAAGACTAAGGCAGTTTAAATATGATTGAATCCTTCTTTTGCTTCCCCCCCTTTCTGGCCTTAGATCTGGGTGCTTGAAGGCGACAGAAATAAAGAGGGAACCCCAGTTTCCCAGTAACTAGCAAGCGCTAACACTTTTTTTTTTTTTTTTAATGGGCAACTAGGGAGTAACACTACACAAAGCAAGTCATGACCACCACCCCCCCCCTCCCCGAATCGTCCGTCTGTGAATCCCGAAGCCAGGTCCCGCTAGGGTACCACTCGGCAGGGGGTTCCCCCGTCCTCCTTTCCACAGGCCCTGAGGGCGGGATGTGACAGGGGCCTTAGGTCCCGGGGTGCCAGGGAGGAGACGCCCGCCCTGCCCCAGGAGAGGAGGCGGCTTGCCCTCGGAGCCGCCCCCTCCCATCGCGGGAGAACAAACGGGATATTCAGTTGTGGCCTGTGGCTGCCAGAGCAACTCCTCTGGGGAAATTAAGCATCGAGTCAGCCTGCACCGTAATCGCCTTTAAAAGCGCCCTCACCCGCCTGCCGAGCACACCCGGATACCTGGGCCGCCCCGCGGCTGCGTGTGCGCGCGCGCGCGTGTGTGTGAGTGTGAGAGAGAGAGGGAGAGGGGAGAGAGAGAGAGAGAGAGGCGGGGTCAGTGAGTTGGGGCGTGTGCGGCGTGCGAGCCTGTGTTTCAGCCCGAGTGTGACGGAGTGTGAGCCTGGGGTGGGTAGTGCGAGCCGGTGAGTGTACCGGCGTGCACGCCGGGGTGGGAACGAGCCGCGTGCGTCTACACCGGCCATGAGGGGCGCGGGCGCCTGGGCCGCGCTCTGCCTGCTGCTGGCCGCCGCCGCGCAGCTCTCGCGGCAGCAGCCCCCGGAGAGGTAACGCGACCCCCGCCCGGGCTCCCTCCCTGCCTACTTTCCTCCCGCTCTCCTGTAGCCTCGCCCGCAGCTTCACTGCAGCCGCGTCGGGGCGCCCGGGGAGCCAGCGCGCGGCCCCGCGCTCACCCGGGCTCCGGCGTCCCCCGCCCCCGCGCCGGCTGTCCCGGGGCCGGGTCCCGAGCCCCCTGCTCGGCCTGCCCCTGGCCCCGCAGCTGGCCATGCCACCACGTGGCGGGGGCTGGAGCTGACCTGCGCCTTCTCTCCCCCAGTGCTTCTGCGGGCGGAGGGAGGCACTAGGGCCCAAATCTGTGGACTTTGCTTTTTTACTTCTGTTTTCCTCTCCCGGGAGGCTTGGCCCAGAGACGTGAAGCCTAGGGGAAAACAAGTCGCGCAGCGCGCGCGGGGCAGCTCCCGGAGAGTTAACTCTTCGCCACCTCCATCAGAGCTGCTGGAGGGCCCTGGACCTGGACTGGGGGACCCACTCCGTGGCCACTTTTGGCATCCCCTCTCCCGTCTCCATCACCAGCCATCTTCGTTTATAAATGGGAGGCCCTGTCAATGGTCAACGATATTCAGAAAAGTAGAGAAGTAGGCATCTCTCTACGTCTAGGAAATTAAAACTTTTTAATATTAATCACTTTCTTGTTTATCCGTTTACCATTTTCTTATAAGCTCTTACAACTATGTGGAGCATTTGATGGATCAATAGATGTGTTACTGGGATGGAGACAGATGGCAACTGGACTGAATGTTTTATGAGGCTATAATTTAAATATTCTAAGAACTAGCAAGTATTTCAAATCCCGTATATGGTGCAGGCATTTATTAATCAATATAACTTTACCCATATTAATAGGCTATGTACCCCTTTCTGAAGTTGACATTGGATTCCCACTTTCAAATTAAGTTTCCTTCTTTTATTTTCCCAGACCTGTTTTCACATGTGGCGGCATTCTTACTGGAGAGTCTGGATTTATTGGCAGTGAAGGTTTTCCTGGAGTGTACCCTCCAAATAGCAAATGTACTTGGAAAATCACAGTAAGCATTTTTTTTAAGGGTATTCTCCTGGAAGTGGGTATTGGAAACAGTGGAAGGCTGCTGCATTTTCCCTCTGGTGTCAGGATCTGGGTAAGGGGCAAGTGGCTGAAATAGTGAAATGTTGGATTTACCTCAACTATTCGGGAGATTTTTATTAACAGAACTAGTGGCTTCCTGCATTCGTGATTAGAAAGGGCACAAGATAACTGTTGAAGGAATAAATTCTTAAAGCAGATGTGTTTCTGAAAACTCACCCTGACTCAGTTGAGTTTCATGGATTCAAAATTAAGGGTGTTTTCAAAGGCCTGTTCTAATGACTTTTAGAATCCATTTGTTACCTGTCCCCTGTGTAAATGTCTCCCAGCAGAGAATAGAAGATCAAAAGTAATGCTCATCCTTGACTACTTTATGCCCATTATGAGTAAAAGGATAAAGAAAACGAAAAAAAAAAAAGTCCCACTTAATGTCCCTGATTTAAAACCACCACTAAAGGCAGTCTGAGAATAGTGAATAATAATAATTGTGGAATAGGGCAGGAAAGACTAAAGATCAAGCAAAGGCTAATAAACTGCCCATGTTGGTTAGTAATGGCATAGATTATGCCATTTCAAGATAAGAAGTCAGATTTCCAGGTAGCCATCTTAAAAAACTAGTCTGAATGTAGAATCAGCTAGATTGAGTCATCTTTCCAGTCAGTGATACTGAGTCTTCTTCACTTTTTTGTTGTTGGGAAATTGTTTAGTAATTGAACACAGTGGTTCACTGAGAGCTTCATTCAGTCAGATTGTGCCACCCACTGATTATAATTTTTAAAAGTAGCTACCTCTTACTGAGCACTTACTGTTTCCTAGACACTATGCCAAGTATTTAACTCACATACTCTCACTGAATTCTTGAAATCTCTCTGAGAAAGTAACTCTTCTATACCCATTTTATAGATAGGAAACTGAGGTCTAGAACAATTATGTAAATTGACTTGATCAAACATTTGGTAAGTGCAACTTTACATAAAGTGAAACCTATTTTTCAGTGGAGCATTTTCACCAAGGTCATTTGACAGGTATGAGGGGTCCATCTCCTTAATATAAAACTTGGCTCCTGTATACATTGATGCTCCCCTATAAAATATTGACTGTCTGACGAACTGGTATAGATTTCAGTATGTTATTGCAACACATGGGGCCAGGAGAGAATGAGTCATAAGAAATAGCTTTGAAATAGTGATATTAGCATAAGTGTGAATAAGGCTTCAAAATAAACATGTAACTTGGTTTTCATTTTATAGTTGTGTTTTAGTTGTAATTTAATGGCTTTAAGTTATAAATGATTCAAGGAAATTAATGACTGGGAGGCATCATGTGCCTAACAAGTAGAAATTCATGGTTGGCTATATATTTGGGGTATTATGGGCATTGTTGGTGTGGCATCAAACATTAATGGGAGGAAGGTGTCCAGTGAAAGTTTTCCTTGGTAATGGAGTGGTGTGCTTCAGGAGAGGCCTGACTACCATATTCTTCTGTGGGAGAAGGGGAAGTACAATGGATGTTCTGTTTGGATACAATGTAAACGTAAGGCGTATGGCCCCTGCAGTCAATCTTCCCTGGATTCACATTCTTATTCTATCACTCATAAGTTGTGTGTGACCAGGATTTATCTTTCTTTTTAAAAATTTTTTTAGTTAAAAAATTTTGTTTAATGTTTTATTTATTTCTGAGGGAGAGAGAAACAGCGTGAGCAGGGGAGGGTCAGAGAGAGAGGGAGACAGAATCTGAAACAGGTTCCAGGCTCTGAGCTGGCTGTCAGCACAAAGCCTGACGTGGAGCTCGAAGCCACAAACCGGGAGATCATGACCTGAGCCAAAGTCCGACGCTTAACCAACTGAGCCACCCAGGTGCCCCGGATCTTTCTCAAACCTCAGGATTGTGGGACACCTGGGTGACTCAGTCGGTTCATTGTCTGACTTCAGCTAAGGTCATGATCTTGCAGTTCATGGGTTTGAGCCACGTGTTGGGCTCAGTGCTGACAGCTCAGAACCTGGAGCCTACTACGGATTCTGTGTCTCACTCTCTTTCTGTTCCTCCCCAACTCACACTCTATCTCTCAAATGAACATTAAAAAAACAAAAAAACCTCAGGATTGTTGTGAAATTAAAACAGATTAGTGCATGTAAAGCCCTTTGGCTCAGTGCCTGGGATATAAGTGCTTAGTAAATGTTAGCCATCACTGTTATCATTTTCATTATTCTCATTGTTGTTTGGTATTGACTTCTCTTTCCTTCTGACCTATAGTTGATACAGCAGATCACTCCTACCTGCTTACCTCATTGGCTAACCTGGGCTTGGCAGGAGCTCAAAACAACTCAGACTTTTATGGAACAATCTACTTTGTCATCTATATTTAGGAAGACCTTATTTCTGTGGCTGGATTCTATAATCTTACTGAAGGGATTCTGTGTAAGTCAGGACTAGATCGGCTTCCAGTAACAGAGACTCCAAATAGCAATGGCTCAAAGAGAAGTTTGGTTTCTCTCTCACGTAAAGGAATGTAGAGGTAGGGAATGCAAGATTGGTGTGGTATACTTAGGTGTGTGTTCAAGTTCCAGCCATCATGTTTCTGTTCCAGCCAAAATAAGGAAGAAAGAAAAGGACATATATCCTTCCTTTAAGGACGTTGTACATAATTACATGCAGCTCTCTGCTTACATCTCATTGGCTGGTTCTTAGCTACATGGCCACTTCTAGCTGCAAGAACACTAGAGAAAAGAGGGCTTCATTTCAGGCATACAGATACTCTGCTTCAAAAGTTTTCTTTTGAGTAAAAGTTTTCTATCAACTGTGGAAAGAAGGGAAAACAAGCAGACGACAAGCAGTCTCTGTGACATATTTATTCGTGGTTTTCTCAGGCTGCCTGAACTGATGTTCATGAAGTTGAGTAACAAATGCCAGCCTTTTTGGAAAAAAAGAAAGAAAAAAACTTTTTTAGAAAGTATAGGTAATATTTTTAAAAAGGACTACACAGCTTGCTTTTCCACTTTAAAAAAGCTTTATAGTTTTCACTCTTAGCCAGTGAGTTTATTCTATTCTAAGGGGCCTGTGTCTTTTATGTTTGCATATGAGTATCTACCAAGAACTTCCAGAGAAGTCCAGCACATTCTCCTGGTTATAATTGCTGCCTCTCCTATTCCTAAAGGCCCTGAGTGCTCTCAAGGTCTTAATTTGACAACATTTTTCTTCATATTTCACAGGGAATAGCACTAATTTGTTTGTAAAAAATCTTCTCAATTCTTCTTCATAGTCCTCTGTTGGAGTAGCAGAAGGGGACTCCAAGCTCTGGTAGATCCTAGGGAACTAAAAAGAGGAAAACTGTGGTAGTGCTAATGTTGGTAGCCCTGAGGTCTCTCACTCATTCAACAGATGTGTTTGAGTGCTGGATACTATTTGGGTTATGGCAGCCAAACTCCTTGCCCTCCCTCATGCAGCTAACATTCTAGTTTGGGGAGATGGGCAATTAATGTTTAAGTAAACAAACAAATAATAAGGTGTTAAGTATTTAGAAATGCATTATAAAAATAAAATAGAGGGGTGCCTGGGTGCTCAGTCACTTGAGCATCTGAACTCTTGATTTTGGCATGGGTCATGATATCACGGTGAGAATAGAGCCCCTTGTTGGGCTCTGCTGAGCTCAGAGCCTGCTTGGGATTCTCTGTCTCTCTCTCCCCCTCTCCCCCACTTGCAGGTACTCTCTCTCTCTCTCAAGTTAAAAATTAAAAAAAAAAATAGATACTACTCCACACCCATTAGGAGGGCTATTATAAAAAAAAATAGAAAATAACAAGCGTTGTTGGCAAGATGTAGAGAAATTGGAACCTTTGTGCATTGGTGGTGGGAATGTAAAATGATGCAGCTGCTGTGGAAAACAGTATGGCACTTTCTCAAGAAATTAAACCCCCCAAAAGCAGAATTAAACCTATACAGAGAACACACTGATGGTTGCCAGAGGGGAGGTGGGTGGAGGGATGGGCAACATGGGTGAAGGGGACTGGGAGATACAGGCTTCCAATTATGAATATATAAGTCATGGGGACGAAAGGTACCATATAGGAAGTATAGTCAGTGGTATTGTAATAGCATTGTATGCTGACAGATGGTAGCTATACTTGTAGTGAGTGCAGCATAGGGTATAGAGTTGTCCAATCACTATGTTGTACACTTGAAACTAATGTAACATTGTGTGTCATTGATACTTCCATAAAAAAGAAAAAGAAACATAGAATTATCATATTTTCTAGCAGTTCTACTTCTGGGTATATACCCCAAAGAAATGAAAGCAGGGACTTGAGCAGATACCTATATTTCCATGTTCATGGCAGCATTATTTGCAGTAGCTAAAAGGGTGAAGTAACCCAACTTTCTATCCACAGATGGAAAAATAAGCAAAATGTGTGTAGACATACAAAGGGACATTATTCAGCCTTAAAAAGGGAATTCAGACACATACTACAATAGGGATGAACCTTGAAGACATTGTGCTAAGTGAAGTAAACCATCACAAAAGAACAAACTGCATGTTTCTATTTATATAAGGTATCTAGAGTAGTCAGATTCATAGAGTCAGAGTGGTGGCTGTTAAAGGCTGGTGGATGGGGAGTTAATATTTAATGGGTACAGAGTTTCACTTGGGGAAGATGAAAAAGTTTTGGAGATGGATTGTGGTGGTGATGATTGTGCAACAATGCATAAAGGTCATTCTGGCTGCTGTCTAGAGGATGAATTGTAGGGAGTTAAGAACGGAATAGCTGGAGACCATTTAGGAAGCTAATGTGGCATCTGGGAGAGAGGAGATAGTGGACTAGACAAGGGCAATAACAAAGGAAATAAAGAAGCATGGGATCTTCTGCCTAAAGCAGTCGTCTCACAGTTCTGAATGCAGTTAGGATGTAGTGGCACCAGCCAAGAGGCTGGATATACCAGGCCTGGGACCTTTGCTTGGCAGCTGCTCCAGACAGGGCTGAGCTCTGGTGTGGCCTCATGGCAGTCAGCCTATTAAAGACGTTCCCAAAGCCAGAAGATCCAGTCCATTTTCCTGCTCCTGCAGTCAGTAAACAGCATTTCTGCTGGCTAATTCAATGTTGTTTTTATTAAAAGGGGCACCTGTGTGGCTCAGTTGGTTAAGTGTCCAACTCTTGATTTTGGCTCAGGTCATGATCTCATGGTTTGTGAGCTCGAGCCCCTCCTTGTGTTCTTTGCTGACAGCGTTGAGCCTACTTGGGATTCTCTTTCTTCCTCTCTTTGCCCCTCCCCTGCTCACGTGTGTGTGCCTGTGCATGCTCTCTCCCTCTCAAAATAAAAAAAAAACTTTAAAAAAATTTAAAAAATAATTTTATTAAAGTATCACAGAGGTGCCTCAAAATGGGAGTCTCAAGAGTGGCCCTAAAACTCTAGTTTCTGTAATTGAAGAGAAATATTCTGCCCCTCACTCCTTACCTGCCTCTCATTCTGGTTCTTCCAGACTGGAGATGTTTTCCCACAAGGTGGCTTTCCCCAACAAATCGTTTTCATTGAACTACTTCTTATTAGTAGGGGATTGAGGGAGTCTAGTGGTAGTATCTGTATACTTTAAGAAAATTGAATACTGCTTGTCACAACCAAACTTTCTAGCCAATTGTAATAGACTTTCCAGTATGGAAATACAGCTTACAGATTAGAAATTTAGATTTGTCCTTAAATTATAGTACTTTAAAATTTTCATAGCTAGATCTTAGACAGTTGCACTGTTCCAAACACTGTCTACATTGGCTATTTAAATTAATTAACTAAATTAAAAACTCAGTGTTTAAGTCGCATTAGCCATATATTTTTTTAAATTATTTACTTTATCTTGAGAGACACAGGCAGAGAATCCCAAGCAGGCTACACGCTGACAGTGCAGAGCCCAACACAACACTCAGTCCCACAACTGTGGGATCATGACCTGAGCCAAAACCAAGAGTTGAATGCTTAACCGACTGAGCCACCCAGGTGCTCCCCTATTAGCCATATTTCAAGTGTTCAGTAGCCACATGTAGATACTGGCTACCATATTGAGCAGTATATAATATGAATATTTCCCTCAACACAAAAAATTCTTTGGATAGTGAGGTTCATTTTACTCATTTACATAAAGATAATGTTGAGGACATGGGTGCTCCTGCTGCTGAGTTCTCCTGCTTTGCAAGTGGGGAGGCTGACACTTGTTCTATGGAGTGTTGACATTGTGACTGGAACTCAAGCCTCTTGATTCAGCTGCATCTTTTTGGCCACATCTCTTGGTAACCTCAACTAGTCTTAGGTTTTACTAATTCATCTTACTAAACATGTTCTCAAAAATATCTAGTTAGAGACTAAACCAGAGAATTTGAGGGCTATGAAGTTGTTAAATAGTTTGTAATCTGTGATGGGGTAGAAGGTTTCTTAGCTTCCTGTGAGAGTTGATTTTTGGAACTGGAAGTTAAGGGGCATCTGTATAAAAAAAACAACACCTATTTGACATAGGTGGTGGGGACAGGAATTAAGTATGATTTGAGAGCTAATGTATGTATAATCCTTTGGGAAATGGTGGTCTTCTAAGCAGGTTTGGGTGGAGACAAAGGTCACCTGAATTGATTTAAGGATGATAACCAGTAACTCCACCTGTAGCAAGCCCTGCAATCAGAAACAAAGCTCTGAGTATTAACATCACATGGACCCTCTATCGCAATGGTCCTCTTGTTAGGTAAATGTGTCCATCGGAACAGACCATGCAGGAGACAGGAAGGGATCTCTGAGATCCCCAAGTGAAGCAGGAGAGCATGGACTGTTGTGAACACAAACACAGACAGTGTGTTGGAGTTCACGGCTGCCTTGACACATTGACAAGACACATTTATGAAGAGCGCACCGGGTCGGGTGCTAGGTGCTGGAGATATACAGATGAATACGTAGCAGATGTGAACATGGGGAGCTGCCTGTGAAGATGTGTTCCCCTGGCTCTGAGTGGCAGTGAGGCTCCACAGGTACCTCTGACACAAAGATCTCCGTTCCATTAATGGTTTCATTATAAATTCATTGCAAACTTGGCAAATCACCAATACTTTTTCTGTTCCTTGATCTTTTCTTCCATAACTTGTTCATTTTATAATCCCATAGTAGAGTTACAGATTCATATTGATGGTTTGACAGAATTTTTGAATTACAAAAATAGACATTAGTAGCAAAATAATACCTTGTGAAAGCAACTACTCAGAGTTTGACTTGGGCTACATATGTTATGGCCAGTTAAGTGGAACCAGCTGAATCTTTGTTTATAGCAACTATGCAAATTAGAGGAAACTGGAAGCCTAGAACCTTCTGGGAAATCTCCTTGAATAGGTATGAAGGAATTGTTATTTTAAATTGGTTCCCCATTTAAAACTAAATGTGGCATCTGAGTGTGTTCGACAGTTGCGATCATTATCTAACAGAAACAGCATTTGGTATGTAGATACAGGTGACAATGACTTTGTGCTTAAATTTAAAGCCGGGCATGATTTACAAAACTTTTTAAGATAAGATACTTCATATATGTTGTCCTGTTGTTATAAATCAGTATTCGAATTCCAAAGTATTTATTTATTATTTATATCTCTTCTTTATTTCCAATTTTAGTATATGTGCTGCCAAGGGCAACAGTTTTATTTCCAAAAAAATTTGTTTTATGGTATTGGAATTAGAGAGCCAATTATTGAGGGTTTCAGTTAATTATTTGCAGCAGAAATCTGGCTTGAGAAAAATCAGCAAATGTTTGTGGAGTTTAAAATTTGGCATTGGAGGTTCCTTTAACTCTGATTTAAATAATGTGGGTGGGTCAGAAAGTCACAGCCCTTTGCCGTAAATGGGAGAGCAGTTTCAGCAATGAATAGAACATTTCCACTTAAACTAGAAGTGTGTGGCAAAAAAAAATTTTTTTAGCTAATTAATGCAGTAGAAGAAAAAGCATAAATCATCATCCGTTGAAATCTTCAGGCTCCCAGGTAATCCATGTACTGTCATTTTGATAACTATTCTTTCTTTTGAGTTGGAATTAAATATACTGATGTGGAATCGGTGGGATTTGGAGCAAGTGGTCAGGAAAAAATTCTTGAGACATCTTTGGTGCAAAGGGGTGGTTTTATTAAAGCACTGGGACAGACCCTGAGCAGAAAGAGCTGCATTGGGGGTAGTGACAGGTGACTGATTATATACTTTGGGAGTATATATATATATATATTATACACATAATTATATATATATATATATAATATAAGTTGGGGGGAGTTTAGGGATAGCATAGGTCTCTAAGGAATTTGGAAGCAAGATTGCCAGGACCTTGAGGGGCTAGCTGTCATTAGGAAAAGGTCATTTACTACTGTCTAGTGAAACCCTAGTCATGAGACCCTTCAGATGTGTATCAGTGGGCCAGAATGCTTGGAGAATGATTGCTAAACTCTGTCCTGGGGGATAGAGATAAAGGAAGTTTCCAAAGGAGTTTTTATATGTTAAAGTAGACTTACAGGATCCTGGAGGTTGGGATAATGTTAAGCTAAGATTGCCTTTTGCCTTTAGCAAAGTGTGCTTATTAAGGTGGTTGAGTTCATAGAGGAAGGTCACTTTGCCTGTCTCAAGGATTGTCAGTGGGCTGTAAGTTATAAGGAAATTTAATTTTTTCCTTTTGCCTTTGATCAATACTAGTTATTATTATAGATTGTAGACATAAAATAATAATTTGTGGTTTTCAACATACCTTCAAATACATTGTATCATTTTATTTCATTCCCATCCAATTCTGTGATGTCAGTGGGATATGTATCAGTGTGCCCATTTCACATGTAGGGAAACTGAGGTCTAAATAACACACAACTTGCCTAATATTGCCATTCCTGCACAAGTATATGAAAAGACTAGCACAAAATTTTTCAACTTATTGATACAAAGTCACTGTCACAAGCTTATTTAGCAAATAAATTAACATTCGCTTGGTGCTTATTAAGCATCTGCTATGAATTAAGCATTGAATTGGGACCTGGGGTAAAAAAGACAAGGCATAGTTTCTGTCCTCAAGGATTTTATAATCTGGTGGGGGAATTAGAGAAGAAAATCAGTAACTGTTATGTGTGAAAATAACTGTGATGCTCACTGTAAGTAGTTTTAAGTATTGATAATGTGTAATAAATCTTATTTACATTTTTTTAAATATTGAAGGTCTTAGATTATTATTGCCTATGCAAAGAGTAAAAGATGTTAGGATTCATTTTATATCTGTGCTACTCTAAGACTTAAGAAATTGGTATTGTGTCCTGTGTTTGACATCATAGGGCCCTTTTACAACACCTGCTTGATATTTCCAAATATGTCCGATAAATAATCATAAAGATATTCCTGTACCATTGTCTTGGGGGTAATTTTGCTACTAGTGTATGTTAAAGTCATCATACTGAATCCATCCTTCCAAAGCCTGATTAAATTTAAACAGTATTCACATTTTAGTTTAAAGAAATGATAGATTAAAAATGTGGTTGGGATTTATAACCTGCATGGCTTCATGAGAAGAAAGCAGTGGTGGGGCATGGGGTTGTGTGAAAATTGAAACAAATAATGATGTTCTACTAAGATTGGTGCTAGGTATATAATTTGAGAAAACAAATAGTGAATTTAGACAGGAACTCAACGTTTAAGTCACTTAATTATACCTAAGAGTATAGCAAGAGGTTCTAAAATTACTTTAACTATTATTTGCCTGGCATAACCACAGCAGGACAGATAGGGGAATGGAATTTTGGCCTTAAGCACATATTTCCTGGCTTTAAACTACATGTAGGATTTAGAATTATATAGAGATTTAAATACCAATCTTAACTATGGTTTTTTTTTTTAAATGTGCATATACATTTGTTGGACTAGGCTTGGTTATTTCAGCTGCCTTGAATAGTAATTTAACTCAGTGCTGGACTTAATATTATTTACATCTAATTCCTAGTAAAGATGGGGATAATTAACAGAGAATGTCTGCATACCCAAGCTTGAGGACCGTATGAAAGGGATAAGAGCACTATCGCTGTTTTTTGTTTGGGTTTTTTAATTAAGAGAGTATAATTCAGATACTTTGTGACTCTTAGGGCCCTTAAACTGTCCCAATTAGGTTTCAGTTGATAAGATATTGGAAGAACTAAAACATTTTCCTTGCTCCCATAAATCCTCCTGGGAAGCAAGGAGAACACAAATCCTAAATAAGTAAGCAAGGAGGCCACATTATCCCAATGGGACCTCAGTCCAGTTTTTCTAAATTTGTTTAGTTTTCTGCTTGTTTTTAAGGGCCGCTGTTGCTTGTTTTGTTTTGTTTTTCTTTGCTCTTTCACATGAAAATCAAATATGTTTTTACTGATTGAAAACCTAATGTTATAAATGAGCTTATTTGTACTGCCTGTAGTTTTTAGTGCTGGGCTGAGGCAGAAGCCTTAGTAAGGGCTTAATGAGTAGAGTGGAAAATGAGACACCATGCAAACAAAGTCTTCATGTTTTCTGAAAAAGATTCTCCTTCGTAACATATTAGTGACCAAAAAGTCATTCTTTCCTGAAATACTTCTTTAGTAATGGAGCACAAAAATAGCACCTCTCTGTTAAAAAGCAGTTAAATCTGTTAAAAACCTCTCTGTTAAAAAGCAGTATAAATCGAGAAGGCATTTAACAGAGGTAAAACACCCAGAAGGGGTTTTAAAAAGACTGATGGAATCACTCTCACATTCATTGCCCACCTCCAGAGCTCAGTTTATGATGTGAAATAATGGGCAAATTAGAATTGTTCCATAAATTTGCAGATTCCTCAAAATTTGTCAGATATTAACAATATCAAAAAAATAAATAGCGAGAGTGAGAGTGGTCTCATTTGTTGGCTTCTCTGTGCTGGAGACCAGAGGAGCATTTAGGGGAGCTCCTAATTTTAAGGGTTCTCTTCTTTCCCCACATTGTTCTGCTTAGTTAGGAAAGTGCTCCTGTGAATAGTTGCTTTCGCATGTTCTTGGCACAGTGAAGTTTTATATGTATGGATTATTGATTCTTGATCTTATGAAAAATGTAATCACTACCTTCATCTTACATGGCCGCACCTTACAATTTAGCAGCTTTAACAACAGTGGCAGTAGTTCTTTGGGGTATACTTGAATGTCTTACTCTAGGAACTTTGGAGATTAGAGGTGTTTTCTTCAGATATATTATTGTTAGATCATGACAGTCAATGTTGGCAAATCTTTGGAAAACCAGTATAAACCTCTAAAAAAAAAAATGGACCACCCACAGAGAAGTGGGGAGTTGGAATGAAAACAGCACAAGCCCTGCCACTAAATATCACCTCTCTTTTCATCACCTCAGCCCCAAGACACTCCTATAAGCACTGCATATAATAAAACAGTGTTTCACAAAATGTTGAGGGAGGGAGAGACTTTTTAGTCAGAGGTGGGCTGTTCCATGGATAAAGCTGACAAGAAGGGCACAGAGAAGCCAGTGGGGGATATTATTGCTGCTTATGCCTCCTAAAAATGAATTGTCAGGAGTCCGATTGCTAGACATAGACTTTCTAAAAGCCCTAGGCTGAGGTTTACCTTCTCTGAAAAAAATCATAATTTATTAATTCATTAAAACCGTTTTTAAAGTATCTACCAGAGATCAGGTGCTGGGTTGGGCATAAAAGACTGCAATGAAAAGAAATCCACATCCCTGAATGGGAGGGGAGGGGACAAGGAGGCTCTTACTGGTCAGGGAGATGTCCCCAAAATGAATGACAATGACACAGGGTGACAAGATTCATATCAAGGGTTGTATATGTGGCATTACTCAGTGACTAGAGGAATGGGCATTGGAAAGTCATATTGACATACTGTTCAGCTATTTACTGGGTATGTGACACAGATTCCAGAACTTTCCAAAGTTAGTTATGATGGTCAGACCTGCCCTATAAAGGTAATCTGAGGATTGAAGGAGATAGTGGATGAAAGGTCCTTGGCACAGAGCTTGGTGCATACATGCACTCAGTAAACAGTGGTGATGGTGATTTTTTTTTTTTAAAGCTCTCTTCCAGGGCTGTAATAAGGCATAAAAGGGTGGTGTTTGTGTAGAACTTGTCTATAAGCCAATGCATTTCATGCTGGATGGTAATCCCTTTGGGGCATGGCTAGCTCCCATTGGAAATACCCACTCCTGCTCACTATGTCCTTTCTTCACTTAAAATATGATCTTTCATAAGACTTTGTCCACAGAAGTACTTCCAAACCTTCCATGCTTTTCCTCAAGTTATGTCCCCTCAACCAAACACCTCCCACCCCAGCACCACCAAGAGTGCCCCTTAGCTTTTGAAACTAGGATGTTTAGAAACAGAGAAAGAATTATCAGTTAAAAATTGCAAATAATTTTCTATCTTTAGAGATAGGGACTTTATTTCACCTTTGGAGCCTCAAATCACCAGAATAGTCCCCGCTAGTCATACAAATTAAGTAATGAATTAATTTACTTATTTCTAATAGAGACACCTCATGATAGAGTAGTTAAGACTATAGTTCCTGGAGCCAGACTGCCTGGGTTCAATACTAACACCATTACTGTGATGGTAAGTCTTTAAAGATGACACCCCAATATCATACCTCCTGGTATTCATGCCTTTTTCTAGTATCCCCAAACACTGTGTCTGGGCTGGCTCTATGAAGCAAAGAGTGGGGCAGAAGTGATAACTGCATGACTTCTGGGGCCAGGGCATAAGAAATCTTAAAGCTTTTGTCTTAGGCTCTTAAAACATGCACTGTGGGGTAAGCTAGCTTCCATGTAAGGATCACCGTGGTTAGCAAACTCAAGGACCACCTTGAGGTTAACAAAGTCAAGGCCATACAGCTAGTAAGTAACTGTTTTGGTAATCTGTTACTCCATAAAAACCACCCCAAAGTCAGTGGCTTACAACAAATTACTCGCGTGTGTGTGTAAGCCCAAGCCAACCATGGAGAGAGAGAGAGAGAGAGAGAGAAAGAAAGAAAGACGCCCAAATAGCCCCCCTTATTTTAGTTTTCTCAGACACTGGAGTAAAGAAGTCATCTTGGAGAACCAGCCCAGTTAAGCCTTTAGAGGACTCAAGCCCTAGCTGATAACTGGTGACAGTTATATGAGATAATCCAAGCAAGAACCACCCAGGTGAGGCCAGTGAACTTACAGGAGCCATAAGGAAAAAGGGTATATTGGGGTGCCTGGATGGCTCAGTTGGTTAAACATCTGACTCTTGATTTTGGCTCAAGTCATGGTCCCATGGTTCATGAGTTTGAGCCCCATGTCCAGCTCTGTGCTGACAGCATGAAGCCTGCTTGGGATTCTCTCTCTCCTTCTGACCCTTCCCCTCTCTCTGCCCCTCCCTGACTTGTGCTCACTCTCTTTCTCAAAATGAATAAATAAACTTAAAAAAAAAAAAAAGAGTATTTTGTTGTAAGCCACTGACTTTGGGTGGTTTTTATGCAGTAACAGATTACCAAAACAGTTACTAGCTGTATGGCCTTGAGTTTGTTAACCTTTCTGTGTCCCAGTTTCCTCATCTGTAAAATGTGGCTAATAATATTCCCTACCTCCTAGGATCACTTTGGGGATTTAGTTATTAAATGTATGGTATTAAGGTGACTTCATAGAGAAAGAACTAGGGAAATATGCTGGCTCAACTCCCTTTCCTATGTTCAATTCCTGTTGGGGCTTCCCAGGGTCACAAGCAATTGGAGGACAATTGTTGATGCAATCATTCAGATCAGCCACCCAGGAAGGAGAGTAGGGTGGAAATAGGAGGAGAATGGACCTGGTGGGACAAATAGAAGATATCTGACGTAGAGAGCTATATCAGGGTTCTCTACAGAAGTAGAACCAGTAGGGGATATATATGCCTGTACACGCAGGCATATACACATAAAAAGATATACATGTACAAGCATGCATATGCATACATACATACATAGATTTGTTCCAAGGAATAGGCTTATACAGTTGTGATGGCTGGCCTGTCTGAAATTTGTAGGGAAGCTGGTAGGCAGGAGGAGCCGATTCTATAGTCTTAAGACAGAATTTCCCATGTGTAGCAACATGGATGGACCTTGAGGGTGTTATGCTGAGCGAAATAAGTCAGGCAGAGAAGGACAAATATCATATGTTTGCACGTATAGGAGGATTAGGAGGAACTTGACGGAGGAACAAGGGGGAGAAGAAGGGCAGAAATGGTGGGGGAAAGGGAGAGAGGCAAACCATGAGAGACTCTTGAATGCTGACAAAAACTGAGGACTGATGGATGTGGGGGGGATGGGGGGATGGGCATGGAGGAGGACACTTGTGGGGATGAGCACTGAGTGTTATGTGGAAACTAATTTGACAATAAACTATTTGTAAAAAAAAAAAAAAAAAAAAAAGAATTTCTTCTTCCTCAGGGGTACCTCAGTTTTGCTGTTAAGGCCATTCGACTGTGGAGGCCCACCCGCATTATCAAGATAATCTCCTTAAAGAGAGCTGAGTATAGATGTCAACACATTTATGAAAATACCTCCATGGCAATACCTAGATTAGTGTTTGAATAACTGGATATTACAGCTTATCCAAATTGACCACGTGAGGGGCGCCTGGGTGGCTTAGTCGGTTAAGCGTCCGACTTTCGCTTAGGTCATGATCTCGCGGTTTGTGGGTTCGAGCCCCGCGTCGGGCTCTGTGCTGACTGCCAGCTCAGAGCCTGGAGCCTGTTTCGGAGTCTGTATCTCCCTCTCTCTCTGACCCTCCCCTCCTCACGCTCTCTCTCTCTCTCTCTCCTAGAAATTAAAAAAAAAAAACAAAACTCAAATTGACCACGTGAAACTATCACAGAGCCACTGCAGGGTCTGGAGCAGAGGGAGTGACAAGGGTCACCCTGGCTGCTGTGTTGAACAGAGATTGGGGTGCAGGGGTGACAGTAGTGAAACTAGTTAGGAGGCCATCATTGTATTGAGATGAAAGATGATGATGGTTTGGACCAGCATGGGAGACATGGAGACGGTGAGGGATAGTCAGTTTCTGGATGTACTTTTAAATAGAGCCAAAAAAGAATCGCTAATGAACAAACTGTGGGGTGGAAGAAAAAGAGGAACCAGGGATGGCTTCATAGTTACTGGCCCATGCAAAGCGGAAGGATGGAGGTGCAATCCATCAACCATGACAGGGAGGCCAGGGTAAAGCAGATTTGGTGGGGGAGGTCAGATGTTCTATTTGACATGTTAAGGTGAGGTATACATCAGATCCCACAGCAAAATGCCATTCCAAATGGCATCCAGCAGAGAGAACAGGTGGCAGGTAACAGTTACTCCCTATTCATTCAGTGCTTTAGGAAGTAACAAGAAATACAAACATAATCAAATGGCAGCAGTGAGCCCCTGTCTTTAAAGCATGAGGTTCAAGAAACTGGGTGCAGACATGACTGTGTTTAGGTGTGGTGGCAGCTGAAGATAAAGGTGCTTAAGCAAGTTTTGAAACAAAAAATAGTATGTAGTAAACGACAGTGTTTCACTTCACTGTTGATGTCAGTAAAGACATTTCTTCTATTTCAAATACACCTGCTCTGATGTATTATAGCAATAAGTCCTGTTTCTTGTGAGCCTAAACCTATCATTCAGAGCCAAAATGTCACTCTTTTCCATTGAAAACAAGGTATTGGAATCTTTTGTGATCGAATACAAAAGGTTTTGTTGCTTGAGACTTTGGCATACTCCCAACACTGGATGTTTTTCTTCACTTTTCAGAAAAGTAAATCAATAAGTTGTTATTGGGCATATTTTCAAGCCACACCAAATGCTGGGGCAGAACATGAAAAATACTTTCTAGAGCTAAATGTTATCAGACACAGAATCAGGAATCCATTCACTGCTATTGCCCAGATTGAAAGAGTCCGCTTTCTAGTCTTGAGAGTGGAATGTCCGTCGACCTAACATTTTACAGAATGCTGCAGCTTATAATGAGAAATGACCTTAGTTTTCTGTCTCCTAATTTGACTTGACTACCCAGAACTATCTGACAAAGCCAGTAAACTCTTGCTGCCATTCTTGACATCCTATTATTCTTAGTTAGGCTTTTCTAGCTTGCAGTGCTAAGAATCAAAAATAAAACTGACTGCCATTGGAACTACTACCAAATGTATTGGCATACTTTGGAATCATCCTCTTATTTATGTGAACATAATTTTAATTGTAAGATAATAAATTAATTTTAGACTTAAATTTTTTTTTTAATATTCCACAAACTGTAAGACCATGATCTGAGCTGAAGTTGGAAGCCTAACCAACTGAGTCACCCAGGCACCCCTAATTTTAGATTTTTAAAAACAGACCTGAAATTGACAAGTTCCCAATATCCATTAAATGGTCCATGAGCAGGGTGCCTGGCTGGCTCAGTAGGAGGAGCACATGACTCTTGGTCTCGGGGTCTAATTAAGTTTGAGCCCCATGTTGGGTGTAGAGATTACTTAAATAAACAAAACTTAAAGAAAGAGGGGTGACTGCGTGGCTCAGCTGGTTGAGTGAGTTCAGCTCAGGTCATGATCTTGCAATGTGAGTTTGAGCCCCACATTGGGCTCTGTGCTGACAGCTCAGAGCCTGGAGCCTGCTTCAGATTGTGTCTCCCTCTCTCTCTGACCCTCTCCTGCCCGCACGCCACCTCTTTCTCTTAAAAATAAATAAACATTTAAAAAATGTAAAAAAGGAAGAAAAATGCGGAGAGAAATGAATGAATGCAGTTATGTTTGTCCTTTCCTTAAAGCCCAGCACATGACTTGACACAGAGTAGGTACGTGATAAATATTTGATTAGTTTATTGAAAAAAATGGGATTGCCTTTGTGGGAAAACAAAAGAATTATCATTGTGCCTTTGCGGTCCTTGCCCCCCACTCGCAAGTAACTTACATTCATTTGTGAAAAGTTTGCAGCCATTGCACTTCTGAGTTTTACCAGTGACAGGTTTTCATCAATCATTGTGCTTCAGTTTTCACACCTGTGTGTGATACTTCTCTGAGCAGGGACCAAGAACTAACCACAAGTCACAGCCCTCCATGACAATTCAGCTTTTGCTCCTTTGGAAACTATCAAATTACCCACTGATATCTTCTACTTTTATTTATATATGGAGTGGCTATTATTTCTAATTAAGAGTACAGTTGATATTAATAAGACAAGATAAATTGGATATGGCCGGTAAAAAGTTATGGGATTTTCATGATAGATCACAGAGTGATGGAGTATGACTGGATTTCATAGTAATTTGTTACCCAGATTCATATCATTTTAAACTTTTCCCAAATAGCAGGTTTCAAGTTTGACAATGATGTGGATGACACTTAGCTAGTAGCTTTGTTGTGATAGATAATACTTGTAATTTTAGCCAGCATTTATTGAGTATTAAGTAAGTGGCAAACACTGTTCTAAGTACAGTAAATTGACAGATATATGTTTATACCACCTGCAGGGCACTCTGTATTTCTGCTTGTTTTAGTTTTAAGGGTTTTTTTTTTTTTAGGTATATTTTACATATAAAGCACAAATCTTAAATTTGCAATTCAATGTCTTTGACAAATTCAAACACCTGCCTAAATGACACCTTCATTAAAATAAATGTTTTCAGCACCTAGAAACTTCCTTCCCTCTTACTCCTTTCCAGCCAATTCCCCATCCTTCCAAGAGGCAAGTAGCATAGATTAGTTTTTCCTATTCTAGGACTTCATAAAAATGAAATAATATGGAATGTGCTCTTTTTTTTCCTTCACAGTTTACTCAGTATATTGTTGTGTTAGTAGTTTGCTCTTTTATTGCTAATTGTTATTCTACTCTGTGAGTATACCACAATTCGTTTATACATTCTCCTATTGATGGACATTTGTGCTTTTTTTAAAATTTGGGCTATTATAAATAAAGCTGCTAAGAATCTTCTTGTACAAGGCTTTTTATGCCTGTCTGTTTTCTTTTCTCCTGGAAGGACACCTGGGAGTGGAATTGCTGAGTCGTGGGATAGGTGTATGTTTAACTTTGTAAGAAATTGCCAGGTCAGTTTTCAAAGTGATGACCATTTTGCCCTTCCACCAGTAATGGTAGAAACTTGTGTTTGCTCCACATCCTGACGTTTGGTGTCATCAACCTTTCTAATTTTGGCTATTCTAGCAGGTGTGTAGTTAATATCTTATTGTGATTCTACTTTGCATTTCCCTATTGGCTAATGAAGCTGAATGCTTTTCGTGTGCATATTGGTCTGTCTTTGTGAAGTGTTGGTTCTAGTCTTTTGCCCATGTTTTTTATTGGAGTATTTTGTCTTTTATCATTAAGTCTGTATGAGTTCTTTATTCTGAACATAAGTTCTTCATCAGATGTATGTATTGCAAATGTTTTCTTCCCATCTGTGGTTTATCATTTTGTTAACAGTATCCTTCGATGCACAGAAATTTTAAAAATTTTGAAGTCCAGTGGATCAGTTTTTACTCTTATGTAGTTAGTGCTTTCATGCTGTCCAGGATAATAAAATACTCTTCTATGTTTTCTTCAGAAGTTTATAGGTTTAGCATTTACATTTATGTCTGTGATCTATCTCAAATGAATTTGTGTGTGGTGTGGGGTGGGAATCAACATTTGTATTTTTCTGTGTGCATTTCCAGTTTTTCCAACATCCTTTGTTGAAAAGACTGACTTTTTACCCATTGAAGTGCTTTGCCACCTTTGCCAAAAATTGATTGACCTTATAAGTGTGACTCTATTTCTGGCCTCTCTATTCTATACCATTGATCTGTTTGCCTTTCTTGACTGCTTTCCCATTGCTCTTTGCCATTGCCTAACTTTATTAGTAGTTAGTTTCAGGGAGTCAAAAGTTATGTGTGGATTTTCTCAACTGTACAGGGAGTTGGTGACCCTAACCTTGTTGTTGTTCAAGAGTCAGCTGTATATCATGAGTTAATGTACTGATTGCATAATTTTCATATTTGTAGTTATTGCTAAAGCTTTCCTCTGTGTTTTAATTGTTGCCTTTCATACTGTCCTCTGAAAAACAGTGAGAGGCCTTCCATCCTTAGCAGGTTTCTTTTTATACTTTGCAGAATTGTTGCTGTGGAGAAATTAAAGTGAGAAGCCTATGTTCCTAGCCAATGGCTTCTTTAAGAGATGCTATTGTCAGTTCACTGTTACTTTGTAGAATAACCTCATCAAAGGAGCCCATTAGGGGTGCCTGGCCTCTTGCACTTGGCATGAAATGAGTATATGAAACCAGATTTGGCAGGGTGGCTTAGATACTTACCTTTACTTCAAGTTAAGTTTTGATGCTTTTCTTGGTCTTTTAAAAGTGTTTTAGGATTTACAATTTACAAAATAGGCAAAAGATTTCAATAGACATTTTAGCAAAGAAGGTATATGAGTGGCCAATAAGCACACAAAGAGATGTCAGTCGTTAAGGAAACGCAACTCAAAAGCACAATGAAATAGCACTTCACCTCCACTAGGATGACTGTCCTAAAAACAAACAAACACATAATAACAACAGTTAACGGTTGTTGAGGATGTAGAGAAATTGCACCTCCTGTACACTAATGGTAGAAATGTAAAGTAGAATAGCTACTTTGGAAAACGGACTCTTTTAAAGTTCAACATTTACCATATGATCCAGCAATTGCACTCTTAGGTGCAAGAAAAATGAAAACATACATCACATAAAAGTTTGCACAAAGGTGTTCATAAAAGCATCAATAATAGCCAAATAGTGGATACTTACATATCCATCAACTGATGAATGGATAAATAATAGTGATATATCCATCCAATAAAATATTAATGATCTATAAAAAGGAATGAAGTACTAATTCACACTACATTATGGATGAACTTGGAAGAGACTGTGAGGTGAAGGAAGCCAGATATAAAAGACCACATGTGATATGATTCCATATGTGGAAATGCCCAGAGCAAGAAGTCTATATAGATGGAAAGTAGATTTGTGGTTGTCTGAGGCTGGGGGTGGGAATGAGGACTGACTGTGAACTGACATGAGGGATATGTTTGGAGTGTTGGAAGTGCTTGTTAACTGGACTGTGATGATGTTTGCCCAATTCCAAAAATTTACTAAAAATCATTGAAATGTATGCTTAAAATTAGTGAGTTGTATCATCTGTAAGTCCTACCATGATGAAGCATTTTTAAAAGTGTTTTAGGATTAAAGAATTTTCATCTGAATGGAGACTGAGATACCAAGGAAACACCAAGACCCCACTTAAGACAGATGGCCAAGTGGGGAATGGTAACAGCAGAACAGAACAGCCAGCTGTGTCTGGTGTTAGAGGACACTCAGTTTTAAGAATCTTCTCTTTGAATTGAAAAACCACAAGATAATGCCTCCCTTCATCACTTCAGGTAGCTGAGGGCTTTGAGGAAAGGGTGTGTGGTGAAACTTGGGTTCTCTTATTTTATGGGCAATCACAAGATTTGCCATTGAAGAAACAAGGACAGACAGGGGATACCATGAAGGAAGTTCCAAGCATGTTTGAACATAATTACCCCTCCCTCACTGTAACATTTCAAGCCATCTGTGCCGTTTACGTGCATTTTGGACTGGTGAGTTCATTCTGAGCCTCTCCAGTTTACTCCTTCCCATCCACTAGTGTCGTCTTTTTGTAATTTTTTCTAAATGTGTTGTTGTCACAGAACATTTAATTTAAATGTCACACCATCTGAGTAAAATGACTCACTGTCTTTTCTCTTGCTGACTAAACTCTCCTCTGGGAATCCTGAGGCTTTTCTCAAATAGCACATTTATCCATTTCTCTTTTGTTTTTCATTTCATTTACATTTATTTTGAAAAGCTTTTTTGGGGTGGTGTGAGTGGAGGAGAATTTGTAAACAAAGTTAGCTAGGTTGTTGGTAGGTTTGGGACAGAGAGTGGTGGAAAGAATGGAGGTGCCTCCTTTGTTTATACTACTAACCACCATCCCCAGGACATGCCCTGTGGGTTGTGGCTTCTGGCATCTCTCAGCCCTTCACACACCCTCTTTCTTACCCTTTCCTTGTGGCTACACATTTGTGAGACATCTGGCTAGGGTAAGAGTCTTCTGTGGCCTCAGACTGTTTTCTCTTGTAAAAGTTTTTCCATGTCCTCTTTGCTGACAGAACTATACCTTTTAAAACCTTTCTTCCTCAAACCATCATTCTAATTGCATTTTGATACTGAAATACATGACTCTAATATCTTTAAAAATTTTTTTTATTTAATTTTTTAAAATTTACATTCAATTTAATTAGCATAGAGTACAATAATGATTTAAGGAGTAGAATCCTTAATGCCCCTTACCCATTTAGCCCATCCCCCCTCCCTCAACCCCTCCAGTCACCCTCTGTTTGGTCTTCATATTTAAGAGTCTTTTTTTTTTTTAATGTTTTATTTATTTCTAGGAGAGAGAGAGAGACAGAGACAGAGATAGAGACAGAGACAGCATGAGCAGGGGAGGGTCAGAGAGAGAGAAGGAGTCACAGACTCTGAAACAGGCTCCAGGCTCTGAACTGGCTGTCAGCAGAGAGCCCGACGCGGGGCTCGAACCCACGAACCACGAGATCATGACCTAAGCGAAAGTCGGATGCTTAACTGACTAAGCCACCCAGGCGCCCCC